CTTATTGCTTTCCTTCAACCTCAGACCTCGCAAAACAGGCTCAAATTCCACTGGCTGCTATCATCAAGCCTTTTGCCAATATTCCAGCAAATGAGGTAAGTGAGAAAATTGGCAAAACATACATTTGTTCATAAATTACATTTTTAGTTATTTTACATGTAAAGAATATGCATCTGTTTATAGCAGAGCATAATATAATGCATCTGTCCATGGCAAAGCAGTGTTACTGGAATGAATCAATAAAATCAGTCAAGTCCAGTGATTGTTCAATTATCATGGAGCAGCTTCAGGACATTGTGAAATTCTCCCATTATCGTTGTGAAGTTAATTCACTATTCAGGATTTCAACCTACTGATAGTGTGAATAGAACTCTTTAGTGTAAAGCTTTACATCTATAACCTTTATTTTATAACTTTTATATTTATTTATTTATTTATTTATTTATTTATTTATTTATTTGATTTGCCAATTGTTTACAAGATAATAAGTATAAATGTATACATAGTTGTGAATACATGAAATGGGTACATATAAGAAAAATAAAAGAAGAATAAGAGAAACAATAGGACAGGGACGGTAGGTGCGCTTATGCACGCCCCCATTTCAAGTACTGGATAAAACTGAGAGCTATCTTTCTGATTAAATCGCTAAAGAAAAGGAGTGAACATCCATAATAGTTACCAGTACTTCTTTTATGCATAGCTCTTGGTTCTTTTGTATAATCTGATTAATCTGGAATGTACAGTTTAAAGAGCTGTTTTACCAACCATTAAGTTTTTATTTAGCTGATTAGTATTCCGCATGAATCTTATATATGTGAAATACCACAATACATTTATCATTTGTAGGAAAGCCTATATTACTAGAATGGTATGAAAGTTCTATATCTTTATTACAAAGATATAGAAGTTTTAGGTTTTTAAATTCCATTTTTAAAATATTGGACAATGCATAAGTATTTAGGTAGTTACAGATGTTCCTGGATATTTTTGATGAGTTATTTTGTTTTATTTATTCAATTTGAATGAACTCACATCTTACCTAAATAATTCTGGGTGGCTCACAGCTATTAAAAACAACAATCTGATCAAGTTAAACAAGCATATAAAAATAATATCTGCATTGCACAAAAATAACCATAATCAGTGGGAAAATCCATCATTATATCTCACAATAGTGTAAAAAAGGCTGGGACAGTTGGGACCAATTTAAGGCCAAGGGGATGATATCTTACATGAGCACCGTCGAAGAAAATACTCACTTCCTGCATCCCCCACCCCACCAGTGTTTCATAGACAGGATCCATAACATGCTTCTCCTGACAATCTTGATGGAATGGGTAAATGTAAATGGAGAGAGCAATTGCTCAAATAAATCGGTCCCACATCATATAAAGCCATATATTACCAGCATCTTGAACTGAACCAGGAAGCATAATGACAGATAATCCAGTGTGAGAACAAAGGTGTAATATGCACTGATTAAAGAGTACACATAATGCCAACACTGCCACATTTTATGCTAGTTGCAGCATTTGGATGCTCACTAAGGACAGCACCATGCATTTCATTAATTCAAGAGTTGACCAGGGTAAGAGTGACTATGAGCAGGGCCTCCTAATCCAGGAATGGGCACAACTGGCACATAACACAAAGTTGTGCAAAGGTTCTCCCAGCCATAGCAGCTACCTGCTGTCTGAGCAGGAGTTGTGAGTCCAACAAAACCCAGATTGCATATGCTATTCCATTAATTTCAGTGGAGGCTGCATTTTTTGGCAGAAATCCTTCATATTCACATCCTTGTTAGTTTAGGAAGATACATGCATAATCCACACTTGGTCTAAAGAATCATTTCACTGTTATGTGAAATGTATTCCACAGGTTTATATATTTTGGGATTATATTGGAAGTAGTAATCATAATTTAGCAAGAGATAAATTTATCAAAAACTCATAAGCATTGAGTTACAGTTAAAACATCCTCATGTTCAGAAGAAATGGAGAAGGGATTTTTTACTGAAATATTAAGATTTTCAGTGTATACAGAAATCAGTGAATACCATGTTTTTTCTTTTACATGTGGGTTTACAAACTAATGATGAATATTTGAGCATAGCTTGGAGTAGGCAAGCTAACAGAAATTTTTTAGGAGAAGATGTTATGGCAACCATCAGAGCATTACATAAAGATATATAATTCTGTAGTTTGGGAAACTGTTTGTAAATATATTGCCCTTAGGAAATGTAATCTATGATATTGCTTGTTTCCATCCAAGGATGTAAAAGTCTAGGGACTATTGAGGCTTTTATAAGTGTATGAAGAAGAAAAAATCAGGAACTGATTAGTTCTGGATATTTTGGATAAGATTTTGTCCCAGATGTTACTTATCTGTTGGCTTCAAATTTTGGAGGTGCTATGTGAATGATAACAAATTCAATCAACGGCCAGTTTTAAGACAAGAGAACCTTAATGGGACAACTCCACCCATAGTAAGGTCATCCAAAGGAACCTATTGAAGAGATACAGATGGAAAACCCAAGTAGGAAAAAAAGTTTGATATCAAGCCTCAAGATCTATTTGCTGTGGAAAAGACTTTTACTTCCAAGAGTTCAACTATCTTGGCATCCCATAAATGGATGTGGAATGAGTCCAGAACCATTCGCAGTGGAGCTTATTTTAAAAAATAACTTTCTCAAACCTATAATTGACCAAAGGTATTTTTTTGGGCTTGGAGTAGCACCAGCTTTATTCTATGAACTGATAGAGGTCTTGTGTTTTTTAAAAAAATCTTTTTTTAAATAAAAGTTTTTCAAGACTATCAAACCACCAACTGAAACCCTGGTGCTGACATTCAGTGATGTCAGTGATACAGTATACTGTTGTGACCACTGATAGTAGCAAGTATAAAAAAGGCAGAGTTTTGCTTCAGGATCATGAAGGGATGTTGATGCCAATAGTTCACAGTTTCAGAATAGTCTGAGATCCGTATATATAATATGTCCAAACTCTTAGTATATTGCAGTGTGTGAACAATTCTCAAAGTATCTTAATGGACTGGAATAGTAACCACAATATACAGACCAGCCTTTCCAGGCAAAACATTCAATCTGAAAGTTTCAGACTGGCATCTGGTAGTCCTCAGAGTCCACCAAAATTTAGAACTGGAGTCTCCTTACATTAATTGCTCAGTGCCTGCTCAGTATCTTAGCTGCTTTTCTTTCCATTCATCACCAGTCAGCTGGTTAGATCAGACCCTATTTATTTATCCACAACCTACCACAATTGTTAAATAAATGTGTTTTTTCTAAGAAATATTAAAAAGACCTTTTGAAATGAAATGGTATGGGAAGACATGCACAAATAATTGTCATTTACTATACTTACATTATTTGCTATAAGGAAAACAAACAGGAATTTTAATGCTTTTAAAAATAAACGTGAAGGGTGGAGATGTTAGTTTAATTGGATAGTCCCACATTTGTTAAAGTTTTATTTAGTAACCTATGATTGTGGAAAGTTTGAAAAACACTGCTTTAGAAGAAGTGGAAAGGGGCTAACCATCAAAAAAATATTGTAGGCTTTACCATGTTTTTAATAGATTTATACATAGATAATACATTATTGCTTATCCAGGACTATAAACAATGTTCAAATTTATACACATTAGTTGGCTGTCACACATGCAAACATCTTGCCTACCACACTCAATCTATTACTGTTTCTTTGAAGAGAGATTTATGGTATCACAGGGACTATTTCTCTATGGTAACAGAGTTGTTATTCCAGCTGAGATGCAACAAGAAGTACTGAAAAAAATCATTTAGGCAGCTCCGAATGCACAGAATGGGCAAGAAAATATCTTTTTGGCCATAGATGAGTGAAAATCTTGAACAGATTATAGTAAGTTTTGTTTTTTCCCACAAAAATTACTTTCTCCTCAGAAGAAAAATGTGATAATTACAACAATGCCAGATAGAACCTAGAAGATAATTAGAGCTGATGTTTTTGATATAGGAGGTTGTAATTATTTAGTTGTCATGGCCTGTATTTTTCACGAATCTATAGATTGCAAGTACCAGCAGGTTTAAAAACTAGAACTCTAGGCAATGAACAAGAACAAAAACAATGGAATAATAAAAATAAAGATTTAAATGATAAGTGGATGAGACTATTCTGAGGGAGGAAAGACATTTTGCCTAGGCCACAAGAATTTCTAGAGATGGGTTGTGAGATAAGCTAACCAACTGACAAAAATTCCAAGACTGAGTTATACCTCTACCCCCTAGAACAGTTATTGTTCTCAAGTGAATTCTAGAACAGAATGATCTGAAACTCTACACATTGTGGAAACTAGTTTATGTATATTATTTATTAGGTCAGAATGCTGCTCAAATACTGTTAGAGGTGACTGGAGATCTGTACTGCAGCGTTATAGAAAGCATTAATATTTATTTTGGGGGGGGGTTACACATAATTTGTGTCTTAAACAAAGGAAAATAAGAGCTGAGAAATACAACCTTCTACTGCGAAAAGCAGACTAAGGATTGGATGCAATTTATATGTGTCACTGTAAATAAACTAAATGTTGTTTAACTAGAAACCATAGGGCAGTTTATAAAGAACAGGGAAAATTGAAAAATTGAAGCTGTCCCTTACAGACTTTACTGTAGAGTCCCGGTAGCCAATGAACAAACCTTTTTTCTGTTGGTTGACTGCATTGTCAAAGCCTTACCCACTGCTGCCTGTTTGACTACTGATGCAACAAACCTCACCTGGGACAATGGCTTTAGGATACATGCATACCCTGCCAGAAATAAGTGAGCGTTGTATTCCCTAAAACAGCAGGCTTCAAAGCAGTTATCATAATTGTTTGTTACTAGAACCCACTAAGAAGGAACTGTTGCCGGAATAATGGCTGATTAGCTTAAACATTATACTAACAGAGCCATGGAATAGTAATCAAAACCTTTAGTACTTAGCAGTTGCACTGATTTTCAGTTGCAATATGTTCAGGACAAAATGCAAATGATCAGTTTTATTGGAAATACAAAGCAAACATAAGACAATAGAATACACATTAAGAGATACATGGTGAT